GGATATAATTTCCAAAGGTAAACTAATTGTTTGTGTTGAAGTGGACTTTCGCAATGGAATGGTTTTACTTATGGCATCAGTAATAGTAGTTGTTAGGTGTTCTACAGCTTGATCTATACTATCATTTTTGTCGATTTGTCTGTTGTGACATATATTATCATTTATTATTTTCTTATAGAGCAGCCAATTGGCTTTATTATAATCTAAAACATTTTTGTAGGATTGAGGATTGTCGTCAAGTGGGTTTGAGATACTTATAAAGACTGGATTATGATCTGAGTTAAATAAAGATTTGGTTATAGGTTCAGAAAGAACAGATTTTTTGTAAGGGCTAAATCTATTGTACTATGGTCTTGATTTGGTATCGCAGAAAATCTAGTTGGAGTCTGAGGATAATGTAGTTGAATGGTATTATGATTTTTGTTTAAGTACTTAAATAGTTTGAGTCCGTTTGTGTTATTATATTTACAATTCCACAATATGTATTGCGCATTAAAATCACCAGCTACAATAACTCTTGGATTTAAGTTAAATATTTTATGTAAGTCTGCATGCAATAGTTTTGCAGAAGGAACATATATGGAGACAATAGTTATTTTACGTCCTCTATTGAACACATTTATAGCAGTAATTTCAGAGTGTTTTACAGATAGTAACGGTAGTTCTTCATGTCTGATACAAGCTTTTATAAATATTGCTGTACCACCCCATCCTGTCATGTTTCTGTCATTCCGGTATATTTTGTAGTCGTTCATGTATAATTTGTCAGTGGGTTTTAAGTGAGTCTTATTTATTAATACGACGTCTAAGTCCATTGTAACGATCGTTTGTCTGAGTTCATCAATGTTATTTTTTATTCCATTTGAATTAAAAAACATTATTTTTATTCCATACTTGTCAATTATGGGCATTTAGTAAAAAACGTTTAAAATTGTAGTATATTTTTCATTGTATGTCATGTTAGTATTTATAGTCTTTGTAAGTGCATAAAGTTCCCTGAAAATTTTTATTACCTCAGGATCTGAAAAAAGCAACTTAATTTGACTTATTGCAGCAAAAATGCCCTCGGTGGAGTTGAAATCAGGATCTTGATTCGATGAAATTGATGGTGTACTTCTTTGTTCGGGAATAGCTTGGAATTTTGGTAGTTCCATCTGGACAGTGTGTCTGGCATCTCTCGGCTTCAGTGTTTCAGAATAGCTTTTTGTCATAGGTTTAGGTTCAATGGCTGCATGAATCTGTTGTTTTTTAGCCTTGTAATTCAGTAAGGATGTACACTTTGAATAGTTTGCTGGGTGATAGTCTTTACAGTTAACGCACTGGGGCTTTTCTTCTGATGGTTTTTGGCAACAGCCAGGAGAATGTGCTTTTGTGCATTTAATGCATCTATATTTCATATCACACGAGTAAGACGTATGTCCAAAACTCAGACATTTATGACATTGTAGGATTTTGAAATTTGGCTTATACATTTCCCATTTAATAATGTGACCATTTAAGTTCGTTATTTCTTTTACTTTTGACATGTCCTGCGATTTGTCAAGCAAAATTATATAAAATGGTAGGTTATGTTTTTGTCCATCAGAATAGGTTTTCTTTAATTGTATGACCTTTTGCACAAGAATACGTCGGACACTCAGTAATTCAAACACCTCTAATTCAGTAATTGCTGGATGTAAGCCTGTTAGTGTGATTTTCTTTGTTGTTTCTCCAGTGGAATACGTATAAAACTGGTAACTGCAATCTCTTAATGTACTCTTTATCTTGTTATGATCTGCTAGTGTCTTAGTATATATTTTATGGGTATGCGTTTTAATATATTGTATAGTAAAATTAACTTTCGTAACGTCTCTGATGTAGTTTATAGCCCTGAGGTCTAAGTTATGTTTTACTATTATTGGTGGTACCTTTTCTGCTATATTTTTCGTGTCATTATTCCCCTGTATGACTTCCATTGTTTCCTGTTTTTGGCCACGCTTTCTTGACTTAACTTTTGTAAATTCTTCAAGTTCAAGATCAGTATCCATATCACTTCGGTCAGTAAGTGACTGGAACCTGTTATCTTTTTTATTCTTTTTACTGCGTACCAATTGTTTGTTTATTATTTTTGATTTCTAGTCTTTTTATAGATTTCCTAGGCTTATGCCTAGGAAACTCTGTGGTGGGGACACCCACCTGACTATAGATTTTTTTTTCTTCTTATAATAATACTTACAAAATATTCTTCAAAATAAACTAGCTTCTAATAACTTTAAATTTCACTACACTCTTGCACTTCCGGGTCGTATACTTCAGAAACGATACAAGTCCAACAGTCGACACTCTTCAGCCAGCTCGAATCGTGCCCTTGCAACGAAACGTTTTTTTTTTTTTAGTTTTTATTTCTGTTTTATTACAATATATTACAATATAGTATACAATAACCATGATTTATGAGCTTACTACTAAAAGTATTTTACTCTTATGCAACGAAACGTCTGTTGAGTCGATGCTTCGTAGTCGAGTTCGCAATATTTTGAAGCGTGCGAAAGATGACTTGTCAAGTCGCCGACGCGTCATCTATCGCCCGCCATATGCATATGCAAACTTTGAACAAATTTTTTATTATGTATTAGTGTTATTAGTATATCACAGATAGTGGTATTGTGCTTCAAATTCAGCGTTTGATTTGCAACATAGTTTCTCGAATTATAGTCATAGTCCCGCCCCGCAAATACGTGTGTATATGTGATTTTTTTTTAAAGGAAAATTTTTCTTTCCTCTTTTTTTGTCACACAATTCCCAATTCCCAATAAAAATTAGCCCTCGAAAAAATCTGATTAAATGATTTTTATTATTTTATTAAATAAGTTGAAATTACAATATTGTGTTATACATGTTCTATACTTTTATATATTTTTATATTATATAATAATAAAAACAAAATTGTTTTGTAAGTGATGTTATATTTCATAAATATATCAAAATATTGATATATATTAAAGTATAGAAATAAAATTTGCTATAAAAACGTTAAGTGTTAATTTTCAATAATAAATAGTTTACACCTCATAGTGCGTTTACAATAAGACATTAAAGTCTTGATTAACAAAAATAAATTATAACAAAAAAAAAATAGTGCGTTTACAGCATAAAAAGTATATTAATTAAATAAAAACACAATTATACAAAAAATACATCATAACAAATTTTGTAATTTTAAAAATATAAAATTCTGCATAAAAATATTAGGTCATATAAGGTCATCTTTACTTATTTTCTTTTCTCATGTACTAGTTATTGATTTTTTGTAAAAAATTTTTGGCAAAAAATTTTGGAAAAAAAATGTTTTGGCAAAAAAATTTGAAAAAAAATTAGTTGAATAAAAAATAAAACAAAAAATTTGGCAAAAAAATTGTAAAATATAATTTTCGAAAAAAAATTTTGATAAAATAATTTTCGAAAGAAAAAATTTGGAAAAAAAATTAAAAAAAAATATATGTAAAACAAACATGGATAAAAAAAATGGAAAAAAATGTTGATATAGTGTGGTTGATAAAAATTTTGAAAAAAAATCATTGACAAAAAAAATTGAAAAAAAATCATTGACAAAAAAAATTTGGCAGCACGTTCGCTGCCACACACACATGGAAGCTATGCAAACAGACAGAGAGACAGAAATAAAAATTTATTCAATATATTGGTAAATACAGTGAATTACATATGGGTTTTTCTACCCTGGGGTATTCTACCCTAAAATTTTTAGTTTTACATCATTGCCTATATATTTATATTTATACAATATTGTATACATTAAATAAGGACAAAAAAGGAGAGAGGTTTTAGTCTCCTAAAAAAATCCTATATATAGTGGTTTATTGCTTATATGGTTACTGCGGGCTCGATCAGGTAGTTTGGCATGGCATAATTCCCATACCACATCATTTCTGGCGTGTATTGGCCTAAAGGTCGGATGGTACTGTTATCGTGATCCCTACACTTCCGGTAAAAATTTTCAGTGAGCTTTTTGATGTGCTCGAGTATAGTCGGTATGTCCGTCTGTTCGTGTAAATATTTTGTTGGGTAGTAGTGTCTCGTCAGTGTGTCCCTTGATTTGTCGAGTACGAGTCGGAGTGCTTTGTTCTGTGCTATTTGTAGTCTCCGTTTGTTGGTCTTGGCTGTCGCGTTCCATGCTGGAGCGGCGTATGTCAGTGACGGTCTTATGAGTGTCAACTAAAGTGTCCGCTTGTTCTTCGCGCTTAGCGGGCTGTTGTGGTTCAAAAGAGGTCTCAGTAGATTCATCATCCCGTAAGCCTGTCCAATTTTTGTATTCGTATGTTTTGTGAAGCTGAGTCTATAGTCCAAGGTTACGTCAAGGTATTTGACTTCCTTGGACCACTCAGCTTCATGGCCCATTACCTTTAGTTTCGTCAAGTCAGTAAGTGTAATGGACCAACGGCTTTTTGTAAAGAAAATTGCTTCTGTTTTACCAGGATTAATTTTAATTTGCCATTTTTCCGTGTATTCTGTCAAGGCGTCTATATGCCTTTTGTAGTCAGTAGCGTAGGTGATCGTGATGATCTGTAAATGGCAGTGTCGTCAGCAAATGTCAACAATGTTGTGTCGGCGTCAGTGGGCATGTCGTGGATGTAGACTTTAAACAAGGACGGTCCCAGGATCGAGCCCTGCGGCACTCCCGCCGCCACTTGTTTAATCGTTGATAGTGTATTGTCTACTTGAACTGTGAAATTACGGTCTGTGAGATAAGAATGGAGTAGTTTTGTGATGTATGGTGGAAAGTTAAGGGTTATGAATTTATGTATCAGTCATTCAATTATTACGTATCACATTATGTATCAGTATTCATCATTCAATTTTATTAAATTTTGGAGAAAAGAAATATTGGATAAAAAAATGTTGGGAAAAAAAATTTTGAGAAAAAAAATTTTGGAAAAACAAATTTTGGCGAAAAAAAAATGGGTAAAAAAATTTTGGGAAAAAAAATTGTTTAATGATATTTATCAAATAATATTCATTGTTTTGGCCTTTGATAACCAATCATCTCTTGAAACATAACACCCACTCATAACTCTGTGCCCTGTATAAGCCGCACGACCATGAAAAATTCGCCAGTTGTCGAAAAGTAAAACTGTTCCAGGTTGGAGTTTGAACCATAATTCGAATTTCGGATTCGTAATGTATGAACTTAAAAGTTTCATATCACCATAATAATTTTGCATATCATGTTCCGGAATTTTGACGATAGCTCGATCGTAGATATTAAACCTATAAATAAATGAAAAGTCTGTAAAAATCGATCATATTTGAAAATTTTAAATTCATAGTTTAATAAATAGTCATAATTTGAGAAAACTTGGGGCATTTGTGTCATTATTTTTTACTGTGATTCTAGAAATATTATTTTTGGATATGGCTCCAAATGAACAAAAATAACCACAACAGTCGAAAAATAGTCACAAACTTGACCAAAGCTTTAGGTAGTACTTAAAAACACATAATTTTTTAACTAGAGATATTTTTTTCATGTTTTTCATGATTGTTATGATCAACCATCAGTAACAAAGCAAAACTCAACACAAATATCAACATTATATAAATATACATTTTTTCGTACCGGCTAATCTCATTTCGAATATTTGGAGAAAATAATTATAGGCAAACCATATATTTAATAATTATATATTTGCATACAATATTAGCTCTTGACATAAATTGAATTTCCCGACTCTCTCTCTCTCTCTCTCTCTCTCTCTCTCTCTCTCTCTCTCTCTCTCTCTCTCTAAGCTCTCGACTTAAATTAGTTTCAATATATTGACACAGCTCTCGAACATGTGAGCAAAATTAAATACCTAAGCCGCGCCCGTTGCTTTCAGGTCATCTAATGCCAATACACAAATAATTAAAAATACGCAACACATCTAGCATGTTACTACTAGCACTAACTATCATATGCAGATATCTTAAATATGAATATGTATATTAAAACTATGTTCAACATTTTTAACCTTTTCGCTACGATAGTGTTTTTCGCATGAGGGTCGCTGCTATACGGAAACAGCGTGCCGCTCTGTAGCACTACTGAGCGGACGGATAGGTATTATGATATATTTTAATATTGTTCTACCATTATCAATAAAAATTTGTTGAAAAATTGCAATAAAATCTAGAATTACCTAACAATAGTTTAACTAACTCATAGTAAGAGATGAATCTTGAAGTAAAGTCCGACATACGATATGTCATCCATGAACATCCGTAACACAGCACGTTATGCGCATGTCGTCCATGGACGACACTTGTAGCGTTAGTATCAAACTTCACTTATTTTACATGTTTATCAAGGAAGCAAACATCAAAACATTTATAATGCCACCTGCCAGAAATGCGTTTAACGCACATACTACTAACAATAAGTGCTTGTTTAACTACATGTGGGATCGTAGTAAACTAAAGATTGGAACAAAACAAATGATATATGACATGTCATAAGATTTTATTTTTGCAAAGAATTATTTCATAATTGAATTTTTCGTAAAGATGGGAATATTAATTATAAATAATCGTTTTTCCACATACATACTAGTAGGACATATACCTTATTACGCGTATAGTTTACCTAATTTGTTCCAGTTCTTCGCTACCGTTTTTGAGCCTAATAATTGGTCCTTCAGCAGTGTAATGATATCCTGTCTCAATGTATTCAGATGATACGACTCTTTCAGTTAATCTTTTGAAGCATTCAAAATTTTCTTTCCGCATACTATTTGCTATATTAAAACCATCTATAAGTAACGTTTCACCACCATGTCCAGTGTGTTCTAAACAATGGAGTATTTGCAGTCTAAAAACATCGTTTATTTGATCAAAAAATTAAGCAAATCACCATACTACTAATTAAATCATACTGTGGAAGTACTAGTGTGTTTAATGTATAGTCGCTGATTAAAAAAGCACTATATATATACAATGTATATTATACATATATATATATATATATATATATATATATATATATATATGATGAGTTATTTAGAATCGGGCAGTAACACCAAGTAAAAAAAACTAAAGTAGTTTTGAAATACTTTATTAACTTCCCGTAGGGCAAGTTATAGTAATCGCAAAAAAATCAAAAATGAAAATTTTTATATATCTTTACGTTTCAGAGGTTTCTGAACATTTTGGCATACCTTAGAAAAAATGGATGTATGTGTGTGTGTGTGTGTGTGTGTGTATGTATGTACGTGTGTGTATGTATGTGCGGATACAAATTTTCGTCGACGATTTCGGGAACACGGATCAACCGATTTGAATAATTCAAAAAACATTTGATTCGTATTGATAAGGAGACGTGCTGATTAGTTTTTGGCGATGGCAGGTCTAGCCGTTCCGAAGATACTGGGCAAGAAGTGCCGAAAACGGTAACTCAGTTTTTAAGAGAACGGAGCGTCCGATTTAAATAATTCAAAAAACATTTCACTAGTATTGACAAGATGAAAAATCGATAAAATTTTCATAAAGGTAGGTCTAGCGGTTTCGGAGATATGGAGGAAAAAGTAAAAAAATGAGCCATTTGGCGGTCAAAAATGATCATTAGACATATGCACATCAAATTATCAGATATTTTATAGAGATTTTAACAATAAGTATACATTTTGTTAACATTCCTATGGGTTCCGTACCAATGCTTATGCGTTAGACAGCGACGCGCTTTATATTTTGTCCCTATGCAGTTAAATCAATACGATTGCTTTGAAAAAAAAAGTTCAGATCTTCCACAATATGTCAAAATAAAGAAAAAAAATTTTTTTTTTTTTTTAAATTTTTTTTATAGTTTCTCAAAAATCTTATTTTTTCAAAGTACATTTTTTTCAAAAATGTTAATTGTTTTTAAAAAATTAATAATTTTTGGTACGGAAAGTTCCAGCAATTTGCCTTAAGGCACGATGCCTTAATTGCCTTAGACAGAATTCCACTTACAGCTAGTTTATCCATACGTTTCGGTCTTCATCGAGATCATCATTCAGTGGAAAAACTAAAAGATTTTATATGATGTAGGAAGAAAATAATATAAAGTTATAGAACTTATATATAAATACTTACAGAAATTAATTATACAAAAATACACTACACTATTACACTGTGATAAACCAAGCTATTAATAACTGGAACATTTAAACTAATTATTTTTTGACAAATTTTGGTTACATTCTAGTGTGTACAGATTGAAAAACGTTTAAATACTGAATGAATTGTGTTTAAAAATTTTTGCGAAAGGGTAAAAAAACTGGCAAACATATGTTTTTAGTAAAATAATAAAATACACGCTTCATTCAGATATGGTGGTGTTTTGAAAATGGTCAACTGGTGTTTTGAAAATGATCAATAATAACTGATTGGTATCACAAACCAACATACTCAGACCGTTATCTTAATTACCATTCATATCACCCCCTCTCTATCAAAGTAGACACAATCATAAACTTAATAGACCACGCATTATTATTATCACACAGTAAACTTTTAAGAAAGAATCTCTCTCTCATTTCACAAATCCTAACCAAAAACTCCTACCCACAACACCTCACCCAATCCATAACAAAAAATAGAATCCTATATCTCCAAAACCGTCACAATAATTCAATTGATAATCCAAACCTTGAAAACTACGTCGGAACTATAAGTTTACCTTTCATTAAAGAATTACAATACCCGTGGAGAAAACTTTTCAGTAAAAGTAATATTAGAGTAGTTTGTACTTCCGAAGAAACTTTTTCAACTCTTTTTACAAAATTAAAATCGAAATTTAACCCAAGAATCCTAAGTAATCTAGTTTATAAGCTTAATTGCCTAGATTGTAATTGCGTCTACATAGGTGAAACCAGTCAAAACTTGCACAAAAGAACATCACAACATAGAAACAACTCTAAAAATAAAAACCAGAATAAAACACAACTAACGGATCACATAAATCAGCTCAAACATAACATTGATTTTTCCAATCCCACGATCCTGCATTTCGAAAATAATTTATTTAAAAGAAGATTTAGCGAAGGATGCCTAATATCTTTACACAAGGAGACGGCCATAAATTTAAGAACTGACAACAATTCGCTTTGCAATGACTATAAAATAATCCTTGACCATTTTCAAAACACCATCATATCAGAATGAAGCGTGTATTTTATTATTTTATTATTTTACTAAAAAACATATGTTTGCCAGTCTTTTTACACTTTCGCAAAAATTTGTAAACACAATTCATTCAGTATTTAAACGTTAGTCAATCTATACACACTAGAATGTAACCAAAATTTGTCAAAAAATAATTAGTTTAAATGTTCCAGTTATTAATAGCTTGGTTTATCACAGTGTAATCGTGTAGTGTATTTTTGTATAATTAATTTCTGTAAGTATTTATATATAAGTTCTATAACTTTATATTATTTTCCTCCTACATCATATAAAATCTTTTAGTTTTGCCACTGAATGACGGTCTCGATGAAGACCGAAACGTATGGATAAATAAAGTATTTCAAAACTACTTTAGTTTTTTTTACTTGGTGTTACTGCCCGATTCTAAATAACTCATCAAAATATATATCAACACCAAATTCACATATTTCAATATATATATATTAGGTTGTCAAATATCTCCCTTTCGCTTTTTTGCTCTTGGAAGGGAGATATTTGACAACCTATACATATATATATATATATATATATATATATATATATATATATATATAGGGCCGGTCCTGCCTTGAATGCAATGGATGCGAAAAATGCGGGCGCACGCCCTTATATGTTATTTAAATATATTTTTAAATCTAACTGAACTATAGATACGGAGACACAAAAAACAAATTTAGTTTGCAATGTGATATCAGTCAAAACAATTAACCGATTAAAATTACCTTGTGAATTAGTAAATTATTGTTCTGCTTATTGCTTAATCTACTTATTCAGTTTTTTCTTTGTTTGAAGTTAAAGTGGAATCGAAAAATAAATCATCTAGGGTTCAATCTCGTAAGCGCAAACCTGCGAAAGATTAAATAAAAATAAAAATTGCGAGCTGAAATGGAACTTGTCAAAAAACAGATACAAATTATTATAAATAAAAATGAAAAATGGAGAATCAGTACTTAAGCCCGAATCACACGACGCTTGTTTCGTTGCTTTTTTGGTCGGCTAGCTGGCATGCTGTTTATCAAGTAGGCAAAATGATGGGTAATCGATCTCCATTTGTTTCCAGCAAGCGAGATTTTGATATCAGAACGTGCGCTATTTTTGTGGATGAATCATTGATCTATGAATGAAGCCCGAATCACTCGGCATTTGTTTTCTGGGCTGGCTACATTGAATACTTGATTTTTAAGTATGATTTGTTTTAGCATGCTTAATTTTTAAGTGTGATTTGTTTTGGCTTGCTAGATTTTTGAGTGATATTTGTTTTTGCTTGCTAGATTATCAAATATTATAAATCACATGACCAAATACTGCCTTTCTATTGGTTCAAACGAACAAATCCATCTACAAAAATAGCGCATGTTCTAACTTTTCCATGATTGTATTTTGTCGACTTGACGACCAGCATACTAGCCAGAAGACCAAAAAACAAGCCTCGTGTGATTAGGACCTTGAACGTTCGCTATTTTTGTGGATGGATTCGTTCGTTCGAACCAATAGGGAAGCATAATTTTGACATGTGGTTTATCACATTTAAAAACCTAGCAAGCTAAAACAAATATCGCTCAGAGCAAGCAAGCTTTCTCGCATCGTGTGATTTGAACGGCTTGTAAAATATCATGAAATCTAGCACGACAAAATCAAGCATGCTATCCAGCCCAGAAAACAAGCGTCGTGTGATTCAGGCTTTAGAAAATGAGTTATTTATTCCGATAAATTGAATTGTACCTTTTGTTTTTGTTGCAAATGTTTCGCATCTGATGAACTTTGAATGTTGAAGACATGCGTGGTTAGGGTTATAGAGCAAATATGAAAAATGGAAGCAAAATTTACTTTGGAACAAAAATCATTGAGCTTTTTTTATACCTAGTAGTGCCCATGCTCTAATTTTAATTATTAACTATGCAGAAATAATACAGATACAACTATAATTAGTTTTTTTTTTCATTGTAATTCAGAAAATATGTGATTTTTGCATGTTTTACTAATCTGTGTACTTTTAAAATACGATAAAAATTTAACTTTAAAACAACAATATGATACTGTGATTCTGATGAAAAAGATGAATACAATTTGGCCCTTACGATATCAATAAGGAAAAGTTTACCAGCAATGCATGCGATTTTGGATATTGTAAATAATGAAAAAATAAATTAAAATAAAATTTTAAAAATTCAATATAAAATATGAGTGTTATGTTTAAAAATGAAAGGCTAGTTTTCTTTGCTCCTGTTCATCATGATTTGCTCAATAGAATAAATCGCATAAACAAGCAAGAAGTTTCAAAACCCAATTAATAATATTACACATATATTAGAAATATATGAAAATTTAAAAATATTCGATTATGATTTGATTATGATGATTTAATAACCAGCGAATCGCCTCGATTTTCTGAATAAATTTAAAATCAATATATTTTAGACGCTTTTAGATTATATCTATTTTTTGTGTACTAAATACAGAATTATTCAAAATTAATTTTTAAAAAATATGTAAATATTTATATAATTTAAATGATAAACTGTTAAAACAGGTAAAAATAATGGGGAGGGGCGCTAGAAAAAAAGTTGCATGCGGGCGCTGAGGACCCTAGGACCGGCCCTGTACGTATATCTAGAATATAAAGTTGATCGGAAATAAAGCAACGAACCCAGCTGCGTTGAAGAAGTAGGTGTTGTCATTGTGAGCTCCCAATGCAGATTTTGTGTATGCGGTGTCACTGTGCGTCATTTCATCACTAAACGTCCACATATCGCCGAACAAAGTTCTCTGGATAGGAAATAAACGTTTCACTACCAATTCAGTATCACATTCTGTCGGATTAACCTGCGAATAATTTAGTTTAATTTATAAATTAGTATTTCATAAATCCTAATCCGTAAATAAAAATAATATATATTTTATTTAATTTATTTTGTCGAAACTTATTCATTATTTTTGCATTAAAATTAACTGTTCTAAGACACACACACTTACACACACACATATATATATATATATATATATATATATATATATATATATATGTGAAAAGCATTACAATTAAAGTAATCTGAAATTTGAAATCTGTTGGATGAAAGATGACAAACCACGGTAGTTAATAAACTAAATTGAAGTTTATTATCATATCCATTTTTTTCTTTATTTATATTAACCTGGTGCACAAGTGCAATTCCATATTGGTATAAAGATGCTACGATTTTCTTAGCCACTTCGTCGTCCGCTAGAAGATCATCGCGATTTGCATGTGCAAAATCATTAATTTCTACATCTCCGCACCATAATGTTTTCTTTAAATAATTCAGTTTTTTTTGACAATGCTCATAATTATTTTCTAATAACCAAAGGATGGAAAAGTCAGATTCATGTTTGTCATTCCCTGAAAATGTTAGACTTTTTATTGTACAATTAAAATAAAACTAAATTTGTCTTAAGCTCAGTTTTGTCAATTTGCAATTTCAAATTTATACAGATATAAATATTTATATAGATCATTTTCAAATTTATATATATATATATGTATATTTATATAGATATATATATATATACACTAAGAATAAGATTCTCCGTATCGTTTCGAACATTTTATGTTAATACATTTTTTTACTACTGAACGAACCATGCACAGCGACATTTTGTACATTATCAATGAAAATGTGTCGAAAAATTAAAAATTGCGCTGATAATGGACTAAAAATCACAATGAAAAGTAGATTTCTAAAAAAATTAACTCATAGTGATAAATCCTAAAAATTTTACTATTGTTTACTTTTTTAAACCTTTGCTGGGTAAGGGTCCAGATGGTCCGTTTTACCTCACCCAGGTGTAAACTTTTATAGAGGTTATATAAAAAAAACTGTTGAATTTTATTTAAAATCAACAATACATCTTATAAAACAATTAAATAACGTATGCTTCAAAATCATATTCATGTCATGTAATCTAATTGTACGCAGCAATACTTTTGTTATGGATTTTCAAACATTACTGTTTATCTCTTGATAGCAAAGCCGTAATAAACAAAGTTTTGGCTGAATATACATCTTTTTTCCTTCACTTGCTTATATTGTTGTAAAAAAATCTGGTGGGCCTTTTTACCCGTGGGCCTTTAAGTCCCGCTCTATATATATATATATATATATATATATATATATATATATATATATAAATGAAAACACACTGCATTTTTTGCGGCATTTATGAAAAAACAATAATGTTACAAATGTTTCAAAAATAATTCTTGTCTCATCATCAATATAAATGATCACAAATTCACTTAGCTATAGGCGCATAATCTATAGATTGTTCTTATCAATAGATAATTGATAATTGTGATTTGACAGCTAAAGTTTAAGGATTATTTATGATTATATTGAACAGGATGTCACTAATGTCTAAATTTTCTGAGAATTTAATCTGATACCTAAGTAACAAATTGTGAAAATAATTTGGAAAACATAAAAAAAATAAGTATTATAACGCATTTATGAGATGTAAGTAATAATCATACAAAATATTAGTGCCTGTACTTAAAAGAAAACGTAAGGTGAATTAGAGAATTTATAAAGGCAAACTGGTGGACAGGTAAATTGGAGGATATGTAAAATGGAAGAGAGGAGAACTGGTAGATTGACGTATATGTAGACAAATAAACAGGTTGACAGGTCAATTGGTAAACATGTAGTACGGGATGACAGGAAAATTTGTAGGCCAATAAAATAATCGATTGATAAAAAATAATGATAAATAGGTTGATAGGTAAATTAGTAGCCATATTGTTAAACAAATAAATTATTGAACAGGTTAATTGGTAGACATTTAGAACAGGATGACAGGTAAATTGGAAAGCAGGTAAATTGATTGCCAGGTAAAATGGTGTATTGATAAACAGGTCGATAAGTAAATTGGTTGACAAGTGAATTTGTGAAAAGGTAATTTGTTGGATAGTCAGGTTGGTGGCCAGGTAAATTGGAGGATATGTAAAATGGTAGATAGATAAATAACAAGACGGATAAACAGGTTGACAGGTAAATTGGTAGACATGGCAAACGGGTTGATAGGTAAATAGATTGACAGGCGAATTGGTAAGCCGGTAAAATAGTAAAGTGATTAACAAGTTGATAGATAAATTCGTAGACAAATTGTTGAACAGATAGTAGTAACTTTGAAATGAATGTAACAAATACACAAATTTGTTCAACTTTTTAATTTGAACTAAATCACAGCAAAGCGTGAACGGGTACAGCCAGGATATATATATATATATATATATATATATATATATATATAAATAAGAACATTATAAATCAAATGAAAATATATATATAAACTATATATTTTCCCTGTTTATAAATACATATAATAATATTAATATTATGTTTACATAAGATCTTAAGAGCAAGAACTCACATAGTATTTGAAGCTGTTTGTTATCGATTCTCAATTTTTCAATCGTCAATTCACTAGGCAACTCTAGCAACGTGAGTTTCCGCTGAAAAGTTTCTTTATTATAGCATTTGTCACATCTACAATGATCTCGGAGCCATCTCAAATAAATTCGAACCGCTGCAAATTCATCCGTGTTTGAAACCAAATGGATAAAGTTGTCAGCAATTTGTATACTGTAATCTGTAAATATGAGTTTGATAAAAGTCTATGTTTTTGCGCTATCTGATTTGCTATTACGTTTACTCGATGTTTTAAGTCATACGAAATTATTTGTCCTAATTGATAAAAGTATGTACTGCGACGTTTTCTCCAAAAGAGCAACACCGGTTTGAAAAATTTGATTAATCTGTCAGAACTCGCTTTGTTTTTTTTTACAATTTTGCAAAACATTTTGCGAAAAATCCAGATATCAAAAATTTAAACCAGATCAAAAGATATCATTTGGAAATCGAATTGATTAGGGGGCGTTCATTAATCACATGAGGTTTTTATAGGGAGGAAAGGTTTGACATAAAATCACAAAATATCACGGGGAGGAGAAAAGTGTATAGTGAGATATCACATTTATTTATTTTTCACCTGATTTTTTAAAAAAAAATCCAAATATTTTTAAAATTTTTTTTAAAAGATACAATTTTTCTCGTAACTAGAAATACACGTGATGTTTGATGGATGAGGAGGGGTAATTTTGAAAATCGCCACGAATCAGCAAGGGGGATGGGAGGTCCAAAATTCCTTAAAAACTCGATCACGAAATTAATGGACGCCCTCTTGGTCTTCGGTGAAAATTGGCCTATCAAAATTAATTGTTGAATTTTGATTTAAAATTTGCATAATGAGCTAAACAACCATGGTAAAAAAAAACTCATTAAAGTTTGGAATATAATGAGCGCGCCCTCTCGTCTTCAACGAAACAATTCACCGGGATCTAAACATCAAATATGTACAGGAAGTTATCAAAGAGAGAAGCATGAAATATCATCAAAAGAGCGCATACCACCCAAACACACTAATGAAATATCTGCAAAAATAAGTTCCAATCAGAAGACCGAAAAGAAAGTGGCCGCAAGATTTAATAAATTGCTAAGCAATATATTTATGTAAGGAAATTCCTCACTGGGGTAATTTCTAGATGCCATGTACCTAACAGCAAATAACCTCATTGAATCAAAGGTTCAGTTTGGTTATCATAAATAAAAAAAATACATCTACATACCACTAGAGAAAAATGTAGATGGTATTATCACTTGTATCCCTAGTGATATCACTATGATAATTGATGAATTTAATAACATCAATTAAAATTTACAATCTGCAGTTGAATTAGAGACAATAAACTCTATTTGTTTTTTAGATATCAAACTTATACGTACTGCAGATAATAAAGTAATCACAAATTGGTACCTAAAACCAATTAAGTCTGCTGTTATCTCAATTATTTCTCTTATCATTGACTTAAAATTAAAATAGGTATTACTATACTAAATATTAAAATAGGGTCGACCACACAACACTTCTATCGGACAAAAAAAATTGAGTACTGTATGTTTCTTGAAAAAAAAAACTATTTTATAAATCAGGACATTGACTTGTACATAACTTCTGTACAACTACTAGGACTATTTTTACAAAAGCCGAAACCCCTTTTGACATCGAACGACTTAGAAATCTCTTCTATCAAATTAACATTTTATTTATTAACTTCCCGTAGAGCAAGTTATAGTAATCGCAAAAAATCGAAAATGAAAATTTTTATATATCTTTACGTTTCAAAACCTTTTGAACATTTTGGCATATCTTAGAAAAAATGGATGTATGTGTGTGTGTGCGTGTATGTGTATGTGTTCGGATACAAATTTTCGTCGACGATTTCGGGAACACGGATGAAGCGATTTGAATAATTCAAAAAACATTCGTATTGATAAGGAGACGTGCTGGTTAGTTTTTGGCAAAGGCAGGTCTGGATGTTCCGAAGATATGGGACAGAAAGTGCCAAAAACAGTAACTCAGTTTTTAAGAGAACGGAGCGAATAATTCAAAAAAAAGTTTACTTGCATTAATAAGATGAAGAACTGATCAAATTTTCATGAAGGTAGTTCTAGCGGTTTCAGAGATATAGTAAAAAAAGTAAAAAAAAAATGCGGCGGTCAAAAATGGTCATTAGACATATGCACATCAAATTATCACATATTTTATAGAGATTTTAACAATAATTATAAAATACATTCCTATGGGTTCTGTACCAGTGTTTATCCGTTAGACGGCGACGCGGCGCTTACGCGCTTCTATATTTCGTCTCTATGCAGATAAAGCAGTACGATTGCTTTGAAAAAAAAGTTCAGAATTTCCAAAATATTTCAAAATAAATTTTTCTTCAAAAAGTCTATTTTTGTTCAAAAAAAAGTAAGTTTTTGTCAAAAATTTATAGTTTCTCAAAAATCTCATTTTTTCAGAATAATAATAATTTTTGGTACGGAAAGTTCCAGCAATTTGCCTTAAGGCACGATGCCATGCACTAGTTTTAATGTTAGTATAATTGAGAAACATTGTTTTAATATTTATATTACATAGTAACACTAAAATTAGCAAATTGAAAGTACATTTTACTCTTTATAATTTTTTCAATTTAATTGTTTAATTTTTAAATATTACTTTTAGTTTCCACTGAATAAAAGCTGGGATGTATATATATATATATATATATATATATATATATATACAGTGGTGTTGAACTAATATTTTTTTTACCGGAACGCTGAATTAAAACACCGGTTTCAAAACCGGTTCTTATATTTGTTCCGGTTCCGTTCGAAAAAAAAAGAGACCAAAATCATTACAAAACCCATCTTGTACATATATATGTATATTTATTACAATAAAAGGAGCGTTTAATAAAATTAGTTAAATTATAAATTATAAAATTCGCTTATTAAATCATTTTCTGTACTGTAGACTTTTTTTCAAATTTCTTTTGCCGGAACGCGTTCCGGATCAAAAATGATTTGCCGGAACGACGTTCCGGCGCGTTCCGGCTCGACAACACCACTGTATATATATATATATATATATATATATATATATATATACATACTAGCATCCCAGCCTCGCGTTGCGACGGCCCTTATTAAAATCCACCTGATAGAAATTTGAATCCGTTTGACAACCAACATTTCAAACCTTGTGTTATAAAAAATTCATATTAATCCAAAAATAAATAAAATCCGGATTGAAACTTGAATATGATAGATCTATTGATTAAAGTGTTTTTTTTTTAAATTTAAATAATAAATAAAATAAAATAATTAAAGATTTGAATAAATGAGTACATTACAAAATTTATAATGAATAACCAAGTGACTTTTATAGTTATGTCCTATTTGCTATTACGTCCTATTTACCTTGCTAACATTTTAACATGTTCTATGATGCTATATTTAGGAATGGTTTCATTGGTCACAAACTATTGGGAACCTGCTATAAGCCCTTAATATTTTCTTTGAAATTTTTCCATAAATTTATGATTAGACACTCACCGATTTCAATGATTTTTTTTTTAAATTTGTGATTACTTACGAACCACTTATAATATAAATTTCCGACTATAAATTGATATTCATACTATCCCTGAAACTAACATGGATAAATTTCTGAGAAATTCGAGTCCAAATCTATTAAATGTTTCATTTTTGGCACTTTTATTAATTTTTTATCAATTTTCGTGCTGTAAAATAATTGATGATTATTTATCAAAATTGCAATACTATAATTTTAGATGTATACTATCTATTTTGGCATCGCAATTAATTTTTTTTTATGTTTTATTTGAAATCGAGTAAAACATTGATATATTTCAAATAGTTAAAAACTTGTTATAATATTCCAAAACTATTTGACATTTCATACTTCAAAAATTAATTCACTCGCATCATAGTGTTTTGTTTATTATACTTTTGTCATGTCAATAAAATTTTCTCTCATGTTTCAACTAAGAAATATCTCTAATTAAATGACCTTATATTTATTTTTTAATAAATTAATAATTATTTTAAGTCATCAATGAATAAATTATATAATTGTTAAATTCAAAAGTTTGGCTAAATCAACACAGGAATATTGTGAAAATAAATATTTTTTTACATAAAGATCTGATTTTTGACATTTGCATTTTATTTCAAATTAATTATAACTGACAAAATAGTTTCTTTTCGGTCGAAATTTAATATAATACGATATAATATTTAGTTCGTCTAGTTTGTTTTTGTCAGATTCCAATGATCCTCAGATTGTACTATTCCATTTAAGAGATTTCCTGTAAGATTAGCATTTGCAATGACAATCAAAATCTATCTCAACTGATATATTAATAATAATATTATATTTTAATTACACAAAATTCTTTACACTTTGATAATTAATTCCAACGCATTATAGTGTTTTGTTTATTTTAATTTTGTTTATGTCATTTTTTTTTTAAATTAATGAATAAATTGGATTTTAGTCTAAATTAACCCAGTATCTTTATCTAAATGTACAATTTTTTATATAAATATTTGATTTTTTACATTTGCATTTAATTGAAAAATAGTGAATGTCAATGTCATATATCCAAAATGCACTGAATTTATAAATGTCAAAATATTTCCTTCTTAGTCGTAAATTAATATAATATGATAATATTTATTTTACAATAATGTTTTGTATCTATAATTTGTTTGGCAATATTGCCTATAACATAACTTCGAATAATTAATTTATTTGTTTCTTATTGAAGTCGTTAAATTTTTTTTGATCTGTCAAAATTTTGTTTATGGTTAATTTTAAATTCAATATGCCGCTTTTTTATTGTGATCTATAATGTTTTGATGAAGTTTTGGTATCCGAAATAATTTGGTAAGCTAATCAAATAAATATAAATTATAAATCTATTTATCTAATTATTTTCATAAATATTGACATATGACATTTCACTTTTTTTCATGTCAACATTTATTTAAATTTATAATCATTGATTTTTAATTAAATTTAAAACTATAAACAGTGATTTTGAATATAGCATTTCATCTAATTTGGATATAAATGTTGGATATATCTATATATGTATATGTTTTTGAATTATATTTTTTGAACCGTCAAATTTTTTTTTTCAAAAATCATAAATCTTTTTTTCTCGAATTTTCCATAAATATTGACATTTGTCATTTTAGTGTTTTGTTTTTTTTAGTCATTTTCTGTCAAAATTTTTAGAAATTTATAAAAAATATAACTAGGGACAACATAAATGTGACACGTGGCGTATGACTCATTTTTGGTAGACAATCCAGTAGTCACCACATCTAGTTATGTATGACTAACGACTTATATTTGTTTTTATTTGTATTGTACATAGTATGATTTGTATTATACTTATTGTTAGTATTATTTGTATTGTATTATACTTCATAGTATTTTTTGGCGTTTTAATTTTATATGCAGCTAGGCATATATGCGAAAGTCGATTTACTCTTAAAATTATATTTGAAATCTATCACGCCAAATAGAAATTTGATATCATGCTGCCTGATGTCAAACAAATGATAAGAGAATATTTTTACGCATAAAAATAGAATATTTTATAATTATATGCTACCGTTCATTGTTATTTTGAATCTAACATTCACTTATCACTTATCACTTATCACTTATCACAACAACTACTTTTTATTCCACTAGACTACTAAATGTAATTTTAGATTCAAGTCCCCACTACCTGTGTCAGCAAAGGTCAACTGTTCGCATTGCATCCACGGCGAATAATATTTGAACTAGGGCGAGTCGAACTATAAAAACGACGATAATCGAGGCGCCGAACGTCAAAATTATTTATACATAGACTAGACACCAACGATTCGGCCTTGATTATCTAAAAGTTTATTCTATTTTTTTTTTTAATGTTAAAAGTGATTGACAAGGAAAGAAATTATTTTAATTTTTAACTTCCCGTAGGGTAAGTTACAGTAATCGTAAAAAAATCGAAAATAAAAAAGTTATATATCTTTACGTTTCAGAGGTTTTTGAACATTTTGGCATACCTTAGAAAAAATGGATGCAAGTGTGTGTGTGTGTGCAGATACAAATTTTTGTCGACGATTTCAGGAACACGGTTCAACCGATTTCAATTATTCAAAAAACATTCGATTGCTGTTGATAAGGAGACGTGCTGATCAGTTTTTGGCATAGGCAGGTCTAGCCGCTTCGATATGGGGCAAAAAGTGCCACAAACGTTAACTCAGTTTTTAAGAGAACGGAGTGTCCGATTTTAAGAACTCAAAAAACATTTTACTTGCATTGACAAGATAAACAACTGATTAAATTTTCACGAGGGCATGTCTAGCGGTTTCGGAGATCTAGTGAAAAAAGTAAAAAAAAATTCATTTGGCGGTCAAAAATGATCATTAGACATACGCACATAAAATTATCAGATATTTTATAGAGATTTGACAAAACTAATGAATGTTGTTTACATTCCTATAGGTTCCGTACCAATGTTTATCCGTTAGACGGCGACGCGGCGCTACGATATTTCGTATATTTGCAGTTAAAGCAGTACGATTGCTTTGAAAAAAAGTTCAGAACTTCCAAAATATTTCACAATAAAGAAAACATTTTTTTTCAAAAATGTCTTTTTTCCAAAATACATTTTTTTTCATAAATCTATAGTTTGTCAAAAATCTAATTTTTTCTAAGTAATTTTTTTTCAAAAATGTTAATCTTTTTTTTTAAAAAAAAAAAAATGGTACGGAAAGTTCCAGCAATTTGCCTTAAGGCGATGCCATGCGCCCCACTAGTTGCATTGTTATTTGTTCTAACACAAAAGTCTCAAACATAGTTTAAAGATGCTTGTTAAGGAGCGTTAAACATGGCAAATGTTTGATACTTCGATTTTGGTGACAATGAGACAAAATTCTATGTCAAAACGTTTAGAAAATTGAAGATAAATTTATTAAAGTTTGTCTTTTATTTGATGTATCCCATCACAAGAACTTACTCATACGATGTTATGTAAAAAGTAACTTTCCCATTTTTTTTTTTGAGTATATGTACTACATTTATTAATGTATTATCATACGTCATTGAAAAGATCGATTTTTTGTCTATTTTGCAACATCACCTTCTCTGTCAATTTTTTTTGTCAATTAAAAAGAGATATATTTCTATATATAAAATTAATACTTAAATATTTCATTATGTGAGTTTATTACCCAAGGATATTATGCACTAAAAATGTTTATAAATATTGTTATACATTATATCTTAATAATCTGTTATATAGTATATGGGAAAAAGGGAAAAGATGAACAATTTCCCATATAAGACCACATTTCAATTATTCCGAAAATTATAGATATTATTATAAATCTCTTATAAAGAAGAATTACAGAACATTGTGTTCATTCATAATAAAATATTATGATCCAATTGTTAGGAATCAATTAGTATATAGCTTGGCATGGCGTTTTTGAATTATTCAAATCGGTTGATCGGTGCGCCCGAAATCGCAGACAAAAAATTGTATCCATACAAAACACATACTGTCACATATCACACACATTAATTTTTTCTGAGGTATGCCAAAATGTTCAGAAACCTTCACAACGTGAAGATATGCGAAAATTTTCAATATAGATTTTTAGACAGAAAAAAAATCGGTTCCTATTGACAAAAAGACGTGCTGTTTAGTTTTTGAACAAGGCAGGTCGAACCTTTTCAAAGATACGGGGCAAAAAGTGCGAAAAATGGTAATTCAGTTTTTGAGAAAACGGTGTGTCCTATTTCGATAATTCAAAAAACATGAAAAAAAAGATTTAATTTTTGAAAAGGCAGGTCTAACGGTTTCGGAGATCGAGTAAAAAAAAAGTGCCATTTGGGGGTCAAAAATGATCATTAAACATATACCCATCAAATTATCAGATATTTTATACAGATTTTAATAATAAGTATAAGTTTTGTTTACATTTCTATGTATTCCGTACCCATTTTTATCCGTTAGACTGCGACGCGGCGCTTACGCGCTTCGATATTTTTTTCCTAAAACAGCCACGTAGTACGATTGCTTTGAAAAAGAGTTCAAAATTTTCAAAATATAAAAAAATCTAAACTTTCAAAATACATATAGTCATTTCTTTCAAAAATTTCAAAATTCTAATATTTTCAAAGTATTCAAAAAAAATTAGTCTTTTTTAAATTTAAATTTTTGGTACGGGAAGTTTCAGCAATCTGCCTTAAGGCACGATGCCATGCACCACTAATTATTCTTATTACCGTTTTATTACATCTATTCACTTGTTTATTCACTTTTATGCATTTTCCTTTCCTTATTTTTACTTCCATGCTTCCTGATTTTATTTCACTGTATTTACTCTTCTCGCGTAAGTCAACAACCATCTGCATTGTTATTCTTCCCAACCCTTTTAGTTCATCTATTTTACCTTTGACGACGTCGTGCAAGAAGCACTCGCAGACTGGGTCCGATCCATTTTCCTCTCTTTTTCAGTATCGTCATCAGTAGAGTTCTTACTTCGCCTACTTTTCCCATGACTTCTTCATTTGATATCTTATCTGACTGCTTTATTTTCTTCATTCGCCTCCAGCATCACATTTTAAAACATTCCAGAAAGTTTTTGTCGACCTTTCTTAGAGTCCTGTCTCTAATCCGTACAGAACTATGCTGCTCCAGACTTAACACTTTATTGGTCTCTTCCGCAAATCTACACTCAGTTTGCCCGCCAGTAGCTTCCTCTTCTTCGTGAATGCCGCTTTGGCGCTTGCAACTCTTGCCCTGGTCCCTCTCGTACAGTATCCGTCTCTGGTAAAATGCTTCTCAAGCACTTGGAGTAATCAACGTCTTTCAATTCTCGATTACTTACCGTCATCCTTAAAAGCTCATTTCGTTTCAATATTCTCATCATTTTCGATTCGTTGATGTTGATCTCCATTCCGTATCTTCTACCCAGCTCGACGATTCTGCTCAACATGTTTTATAGCTCGTTGACGTTACGGTTTTCGATATCACCTCGAGATCATTAACGTAATCATTATTGTGGCTATTCTTCTCCCGTAAATCAAAAAATCTTCAGTGTATTCGAGTGCTTCGTTGACGAGCCATTCTCCGTACAGCTTGAATAAAATGGGTGGCGTTACTTTCTGCCAATCTTTCAAACAGAAGCAAATGTCCTCGTTAATATCGAGACATCTGTCCTTCATTATTCTCAATTTCGAATGGCATCTCTGGTGCCTGTTCATTTTCTTAGCCCAAACTGGTCTTCGATAATGTGCTGCGCCGAGTCGTCTCAGTAAAGATTTTGGCCAGAACCTTTCCTGTGTGCGAAGTCAGACTAACTGTCCTGTCGCTGCAATTGCTTGCTTTGGGCATTTTCTGAAGAGCTATCATCGTGACACGACCGTTCGGTATATTTGGTTCAGAAGTTCGGTCAGTTCTTATATATACACGCACACACTGTATATGTATGTATGTATATATATATATATATATATATATATATATATATACTCGTATGTACGAGGGGCATGTAAAAAATAAGGCTCCCAACACTCGCCGCGCGAGATACTATGGGTATTCCGGCAACACCATTTTGATTGTTGATCCTTGTCACTCCATTCCAACTACCTGGAAGATCACTGCAAAGCTTAGTGCCAATCTAACAGCCATCCGCGATGGAGCGCGCAATCGCTTTCACCGCCAGGTGTGAAATCCGTTCAGTCATTCGATTTTTAAACGCGAAGAAGCTTACATCTATTGAAATTCATAGACAGTTGGAAAAAGTTTATGGCAAAACTTGATCAGCGTCCAGCACGTCCTCAAACGGTGCAGGGAGTTCTCCGAAGGACGCACAGACGTTCACGACGAGCAAAGGAGCGGGAGGCCATCGAGTTATGGGACCGAAAATGTGTCTTGCTTACCGAGTTAATGCTTAAAGGGTCCACTATAAATTCGGACAAGTACTGCGAGACACTAACAAAACTCAAAAAAGCCATCCAAAATCGCCGGAGAAGAAGACCGTGCGATGGCGTGGCGGCGGAGTTCTTCGAAGCGGGTTTTCAGAAGTGGAAAACTTCTCAGAAAAAATGCGTTGAAAAATCTGGCGACTATGTAAAAAAATAGTTTGAAATACAAGCTTTCCGATGGTGTACACATTTATTGCAATCAAAAACTCTGAAAAAATGTGGGAACCTTATATTTTACATGACCCTCGTATATGTATATGTACTTATATATATATATATATATATATATATATATATATATATATATATATATATACATAACATTATCTTGATAAGATTGAAGCAAACAATATGTTTAAGAAAAGCAGAAGATGATGGATTTTTTAACTTCCCGAAGGAGAGGTTTATGGTTTCATAAAAAAGTCCGACTCGCTAATTTTATGTTTTCTCGACGTTTCAAGCCATTCTGAATCGAATGAGACCAAATTTGGAAAAAGTATGTGTGTATGTGTGTGGTTGTGTGTATATATGTGTGTATGTGTGAACATATTTTTTGCCGTAAATCGACGTTTTCTCCAAAACGGCTGGACCGATTTCAACAATTTAAAAGTCATTCGATGTATCTCGATAAGGACTAGCGCAACGATCGGCCGAGCCGTTTCTTTGTAAATAGCAGAAAAGTGAAAAATTTTTCGACCACGTTTTAGCCCGCAATTCTGAATCGATTTTAAAAATTTAAAAAA